GGTACTTATTTTAACACCATAGTCATTGACTTTACAATTCAAAAATAAAAGTTTGGCAAGACTATTTTGTAAACCTGTTAATTTTATAATGTAAAAAAATTACTCTAACCTTGAATTGTTATTTGCACTTTCATAGTCTATACTTGATACATTCCCACTTTATATACAGGTAGGATCCTACAACCATGTAGATGTTTGGCCAAATGAATGCTGTTAATAATATGTAAAATTCTTTGATTAAACATTTATTACTTAAACTAATTCCGTTCTGTCTCATTACATCTTAGACTTACTGTAGCAGGTCCTTGAGACTGCTGACAGACATTTTTAGGGTATGTTCAGTACTGTGCCAGATTAGTTGGACAGCATATAGTAAGCTGAATGATTTGATTTGTAAATATAAAGCACCATCATTAAGCTTTGAAAAAAATCTAAAATAGAATTTGTGTTACTTGCTGCAGCCATATTGTGCACTTGTTGTTTGTAGAGTAATGCCTTGTCACTAGGTAGTGGTGCTAAACAGAGGGGGCTAATTTTTGTGAGATTCTGTTAAGCAGTGTTACTTAACTGCCACTTAATATCCACTCTCCATTGTTACCTGGAAATTCAGAGTGCCTCTGTTACATTAATAGCACTAAACTATTTTGTTCAGTGTTACAGTAATGTCATCAACCTCCTCCACCAAGCATGCCAAGATCATGGAACCACACTCTGGTTTGGGTTGGAAGGGACCTTGAAGACCATGTTGTTCCAATCCCCCTTCCATGCACAGGGACACCTTTCATTAGACCAGGCTGCTCAGAGCTCCATCCCACCCAGCCTTGAACACTTCCAGTGGGGAAGCATTCCCAGCTTCTCTGGGCAACCTGTGCCAGTGCCTCAGCGCCCTCACAGAAGGCATCCCGCTGGAACGCTGGAATACTCAGGGAGGGTGGTGACAAGGGAAGCCAAAACATGGACACAAAGATAGCCAGTTTGTTTACAAGCTCTAGAGACAGCTTGTCTGGCTCAAGAAACAGCTTTAACGTGCCTTGAAAGAACCAAGTGCTCATGGTTATTTTATGTAATCTCTGCCATTGCTTACCTACCCATGTCCCTCATGAGGCCCAAAAACCAAAGACCTCACAAAATGCAGGGTGAATTCCTGGCTCTATTACAAGCTCTAATGAGTAATTAAGACCCAAAAGCTGCAAAGACAGATGCATGTTACTTATGCAAGTAAGAACTGTGCAACACATCTGAAGAACAGCATCAGTTGTGGCTCTGGGAATTAAGGGAATACAGGCTGCTTTTCTCACAAGAGAGCTGTTAAGTACAGAATCTTAGAACAGAACCATGTGGAAATGCAGAGTGCACCAGTCCATCAGATTTATACCCAATTTCATGCATTTACAACACAAATATTTCTGGAGGAGCAGCACATGTGCATCCTCTGCAGCTGACTGTGGAACAGTGACACACACATAGTAGGAATAAAGGATTCTTCAGCTGTGAGCCAGCTGACTGCAGGGTAGCAGTAAGAAGCTAGGAGGAAGCAATGCAATTAAATCCACTGCAGAACAATTCAACTGCCGAAGCAGGAAATGAGCAGTGTGTGCAGATTTGCATCACTTTCAATAAAAGCCACTCTCACTGAGAGCTCCTGATGAGAAACAGTTCTGCACTGACAGCCAGTGTGTCTAACACAGTCCCCCTCCACAGGTGGAGCCAACATTTTATTTCCTCCACTTCTTTGTGGAGTCTACATTGGAAGTTTCACAGAGCAGGGATGGGCTCTGGTCAGTCCCAAGGGCAGCCCTTTCTCTTTTTGGGGTAAAAATAAAATAAACTGGAAATACACATTAATTGGAAGAAAACATTTACTCTGCAACTTTAGCTGAGCTTACACAGCACAAAATGCCTCAGCTGCATCAGGCACATCCAGCCAGGCCTCAGACTGAGTCAGCCCACTCCAGCTCCAAGGAGAGGCTTGTTCTGTTAAGGAGAATCAGGAAACTGAAGAGGCTGCTCAAAATTTGGGACTGACATTTTAAGGCTTGAGGTCCTCTGGAGAGAGGGTACTTAAACTCCTGAGCCCCACCTCTGCTTCTACCCATAGCTACCAGGTATTCAGCAACTCTCAGAACATTTCAGCTGTTGCCAAGATAAAAGACATGCTAGGTGTAATTTCTGACAAAACATCATAATCACTGTTCTTTGTGTCACCTTCCAGGTGAGGCAGGGGTGGTCAGACTGCACTGACAGCAATCCCTGCCTCTCTCTGCTCTTACACAAGGCCAGCAGAGCAATCATACCAGGAACACTAATCTCAAGGTGTTTTACTGTGGTTCCATTGAAATGACAGAACCACACTTGTCAAGAAATACTTAACTAAAACTTTCTGACAACATAAAAATGGTTGTCTAAACCATTTTTTAATTATCCCAAACTACCACCTCAGATGAGGTTTCTTAAAGCTTAAGCTTTATTTATTTGGGGTTTTTTAATTAAAGTTATTATTTAAAAGCAGAAAGAATAATCACAGTGGGTAAGTTATCAACAATATACAGTAGCATATTTAATTAAGAGTATATACATATATGTAAACCACACACATCCTATATGTGTGACAGAAAAGACCCTGCACATGGTTTCAGAAAGACCAAGGGGTTAGAAACCAGGAAGATGGTAGAACTGGTTTTGAAAAGAATAACTATTGCAATTTTTAATTGCTATCCATTAACAATAAATCTTACAAAAATTCACAAAATAAAAACCTTCACAAAGTATTAGGTACTTACCTGGACAGAAATGGACACTGTCACTCATTTCTAGCCTGTTTCTACACAGACTAGTGAAGCCATGCCAACATGATGGCAGTGAGAGGGGCCCAGCACTGCAGGACTGCTGAGGTCGGTGCTTGGGAACAAAAGCAGCAGAAGCTGCAAAAAAAAAGTGATGGAAAAAGCTTAAGGCCTCTGAGAGACCACTGACCTGCAAAATACAACTATAGAGAGATGCATTAAAGAAACAAAACAAAAAAAAACGTGCACCCAGTAAGTATAAACAGAAACAGCTTGAAAAGAGATGAGGGTAAATGAGGACTTAAATCAAAATTGAGGAATAAATTTGGCACCTGAGACAAGAAAGTCAAATTTGGTGTGAAAGAGGCATGCAAGAGGTGAAACATGGCTGTGCATGAGCCAGTAGCAACCCAGGCACACCCTGCATCCATAGCACACTGCATGGGGAGAGCATCTATTAATAGATCCCTGCAAATTTGTGTCCACTGAGGACAAGACAAAAATCAATTTCATCTGCACCAAAGAAGCTTTAAATAAACCCTAAGGACAGAAACTGAATATGGGAACTAAGAGACTGCAAATCCTCATGCATGACTGAGCATTTTTTTTCCTAACATCCAACCAGAAAAACATCTCCAAGGGACGTCCCAGGGCCATGTGAGTGGCAGCAGGTGAGGAACCTCTTTTAGATCCATGGTTCCTACATCTGGCTCTCAAAGCCTCACAAAAGGTGCAAGTTCATTCCCTGGCCTTTTGAATTACTTGATACATGACTGAGGCTTCATGCAAGAGGGGCAGAGAATCATAGAGTGGCTTGTGTTTAAGGGGACCTTTAATATCTTCTAGCTCTAACCACCCATGCCATGGGCAGGGTCACCTTCCATTAGATCAGGGCCCCACTCAACCTGACCTTGAACACTTCCAGGGATGGGGCATCCACAACTTCTCTGGGCAGCCTGTTCCAGTGCCTCACCACCTCCAAAGCAGAGGATTTTTGCCAAATACTTAATCTAAATGAAAGCCAAAACTGGCATATGTTGATGCTAATATCCACCAACACTTTCTCCTGAATCAGGACAATCATTGCAATCCATCTCTTGTCCCCTGATTTTCTGCTGAGCCAGAAGAGTGACAGCTGTAAATGCCTGAATGACAGCACCTGGTGTGGTGGTGTTCGCAGGGGTCCCAGGACGAGAGAAGAGATGAGAATCTTGACTCCATGTTTCAGAAGGCTGATTTATTATTTTATTATATATATTATATTAAAAGAAAATTATACATTAAAACTATACTAAAAGAATAGAAGAAAGGATTTAATCAGAAGGCTAGCAAGCAATAGAAAGGAACAGAATGATTATAAAATCTTGTGACTGACCAGAGTCCGAGACAGCTGGGCTGTGATTGGCATTAAAAACAACCACACGAGACCAATCAAAGATGCCCCTGTTGCATTCCACAGCAGTAGACAATTATTGTTTTTCTTTTCCTCTGAGGCTTCTCAGCTTCTCAGGAGAAAAAATCCTAACGAAAGGATTTTTCATAAAATATGTCTGTGACAACCAGGCATCCCCTGCAAACAGGAACAGCACCAGAGACAGCTTCTGCACAGAATCACAGAATGCTATGGGTTGGAAGCTGCCTTAAAGATCATCTAGCCCCAGCCCCCCTGCCATAAGCAGGGACAGCTCTCGCTAGACCAGGTCTCATCCAGCACAGTTTTGAACACTGCCAGGTTTGAGGCATCCACAGCCTCCCTGGGCAACCAGTTTCAGTATTTCACCACATTCACAGTAGAGAACTTCTTCCTAACATCTAATATAAATGCTCCGTCTTTCAGTTTGTACCCATTCTCCCCGTCCTGTTCTGTCACTGCTGTTCCTGACAGAGTCCCTCAGGCTTCCCTGTAGGTTCCCTTCAGACACCGAAAGGTGCTGCGAGGTCTCCACGCGCCCTTCCCCGGGCTGAGCAGCCCCAGCTGCACCATGGGGCCTCCGTCCCTCACCGGGACCGACGGGGCCCCGCTCTCTGTGCCACGGCTCGGCCCGAGGCGAGAGCAGCCCGGAGCCGGCCGGGCTCCGTTTGTCCCGGGCCGCGGCCCGGCCGCCGCCAGCAGAGGGCAGGCCCGGCCCCGCCGCTCCCGGCCCCGCCGCAGCCACATCCGCCGCCGCCGGGAAGGGGCCGGCGCCGGGGCTGCTGTGGGCGCCGCGCTCCCGCCGCTCGCCGTCGGGCCCGCGGGCCCCGCGCCGGCCTCAGGATGCCGCTGGGGCTGAAGCCCACCTGCAGCGTGTGCCGCAGCACATCCTCCTCCATGTGGAAGAAGGGCGGGCAGGGCGAGATCCTGTGCAACAACTGCACGGCCCGCTCGGCGCCGCCGCCCCCCGCCGCCTTCGCCACCACCTCGGCGGCCGCCGGCCAGCACAGCAACGGTGGAGGCAGCGGCGGCGGAGGCGGCGGTGGCGGGAAGCAGGTGAGGAGGCCGAGGGCGAGGGCGATGCAGCCGCCGGGGCCGGGCGACGCTGGGCGGGGCCGGGGCCGGGGCCGGCGTGTTCGGGCCGTCCCCTTCGTGTTCATCGTGCTGTTCCCTGCAGAGCAAGCAGGAGATCCACCGGCGCTCGGCGCGGCTCAGGAACACCAAGTACAAGTCTGCGCCCGCCGCGGAGAAGAAGGTTTCCACCAAGGGCAAGGGCAGGAGGCACATCTTCAAACTGAAGAACGTAAGGCGGAGCGGCTGGGCCGGGAGCCTTTGCTGGGCTGGGGCGGACACGGAGCCCGCGGGAGGAGTGGAAACAGAGAGCGGTCATGGGAGTTCAGCACTCACTTCTCCACATAAAATCCTGGAGATGAAAACGCTAGCTCTGTTGCTTTGAGCTTTAACCTAATAATGTTTGCTAGTTTTCTTAGAAGATAATGTATCTATATGTTGTCTAAAAAGAAAAACAATCTCTGGAACTTTATGGTTGATTTGTTTTAATGCTCCTAATTTTCAATTTCTGTATTCTTTTCTTAGCCCATCAAGGCTCCTGAGTCTGTGTCCACTATAATTACAGCAGAATCAATCTTTTATAAGGTATGGTTTATGCAAATCTATTTGCATAAATGATTATCCTGTTTCTTTTTCCAGTGTCAAGAATTATCGTGGACAGTGAAAGCACTAGAGATATAATCACAGAAACTGTTCTTCCTTGCCTAACACTTGTGTAGGATTTTGGTTTGCCATAGTTATTGCTGTTAAGTCTTGCCAGGTAGTTTACTTAAGTTTACCTAGTTTAAATAGTTGCCATTGTTCCATGTTCTTTTCTTCCAAGAAAAAGTGCCTTTTTTTTTTGGTAATTATTGCTGTCAGCATTTTTAAACTTCACTTGCACTGTGTAGCAGTCAAGTGACTGGAGATGATTATTTAGATTTGTGTGATGTTTCCTGCCATAGGTGCAGAACATATTTCCCATAGAGGGGTGGCTTGCAGTAGCCCAACATCTCAGCTGGCTCCCATTTGAGAGCTGGTGCAAACAGTCCCAAACATCTGGGAACAAGATCTGTTGGCACTTGCAGTGAAGCAAGAGGGAGCCTTCTCACATTCATGCTTGAGATCAGCTTTACCAGCATGCCAAGGTGTTGGTGTTCTAAAGTTCTGACATTTGCTTTTGTTTCCCAGCAGTACAAGCAAACAGAATGTTTTTTCCTCCTTTTCCCTCCCCAAAAAAGTCAGGATAGGCAGTGGGAGACTGCACAGTCAGTGGTGGCCTGAGATTCCATACTCTCCAGAGACCTGATGCTTCATGCCTGGCATTCCAGATGAATCTCTTGTTTGCTGTTGACCAGTTCAGAAAAGAATTATTGTCTTGTGTGTCTGTTTTTATCAGAAATTCTTGAGAACTATGTCAAAGCTTCTGTCCTCCTTATGTTGAATGTTGCTACTCTGATACTTTGCGGTGTTGTTGTGAATAGGCTTGTTTGGAGTTGTTTGTGTTCTTTTTATCTGTTTTAAAAACAAGCACCTTTCTTTCTTATGCCACCATTATTTTGCATGTGGCTGAATTGAAGCTGCCTTTCAAGACTGGCATAAATTAGGATAATTGTGGTTGCTGATACTTAAGATGTGAAGTGAAGCTGACAAAAATCAGGCTGTTTGATTTCAGTGTCATTGGTATGTCTTCCAGGGTGTGTACTACCAAATTGGAGATGTTGTTTCGGTGGTTGATGAGCAGGATGGAAGAACATACTACGCTCAGATCCGTGGGTTTATTCAGGACCAATACTGTGAAAAGAGTGCTGCACTAACCTGGCTCATTCCTACACAAGCCAGCCCCAAAGACTGTTTTGACCCAGCATCCTATATCATAGGTAATCTCTGAGCCTTCACTTTCTGCAGCTACTTGGATGTGCCTATGCTAATGCAGAGCTGTATTCTTTAAATGAACATTTTAGCTTCTCAAGGTATTTTATGCACGTTCACATTTTAGACTCTAATCTTGTAAACATCTCATTTACTGTAATAACACTTTTTATTTATCATGTGTATATAATGTGATTACCACTATTGCAGTGTGTGATTATCTTGTACTGTGATTATCTGAGTGTTGGTGGGTACAATTACAGTTGTGCAGCTTTAAAGATTAAATTATTGCTCTATAGATAGGTTTAAACCATAGTAACTTTGATAAACCATCCAAGTTGTTTCTTTTAAAGTGACCTGAGTTACTTGATCTTTATACTGGGTATTCAAAATACATAGCATGCAAGCACTGGCACAGAGACTGTTCTGCTACTGATAAAATTAGTAATTCAGAGAAGTCCTTCTAACAGGCAGGACACAAATAGAATGTATTTTAAATATATTAACTATAGTATTCACTCAAATATCAGAATGCTTCAAATGGGATGGAGGGAAAGATCAGCCCAGCAAAATTAAAGGTAGAGGTTTCTTGCCTAATACAGGAGGCCACCTTCCTAGGGAAGTCATGGATTGCAAAGGCAAATTCTGTAAGGGAATGTTGGCTGTTGTGGCATATTTTTATTCAGCATATTTAGTTTTATGCCTTTAAGTTTTGTCTTTGAATTTATTTTTTTAGGACCAGAAGAAGATCTCCCAAGAAAAATGGAATATTTAGAATTTGTTTGTCATGCACCTTCAGAATATTTCAAATCTCGATCATCTCCCTTCCCTACTGTTCCTACAAGGCCAGAGAAGGGCTATATATGGACTCATGTGGGACCTACTCCTGCCATCTCCATTAAAGAAACTGTAGCCAATAATTTATAATTTTTAAGGAATTCTTTGGACTAGTTATTTTGTGTGTATCCTCCAGTTTGTAAACCCCTTACAAGAAGTTTTATAAAATGTGCTGGTTTATTTTACAGATTATGGTATTTATTTATTTTAGATATATCAGACCTTTGAAGTGGAAGTTTTCATTCCAGTTGATGCATCATTTTCATGCTCTGCTCCTCAGACATTATTGCTCATCTTGGGACAAAACCACAAGTTTCATGTCATCTTTGACTTCTGAAAGTTGCCTTTAGTATTCATTCTTACTTTTTGAGTTATTTTTCCAGAAGAGGAGTTTAAAAGATATAATCATCCTGCATTTTATATGACTGTTTAATTTAGTTAACTGTAACTGCTGGTTTTATTTCCTTGTTGAATAATTTAGGACTACCTTCACCTAAATACTAAAATGGTCAGCGATGCAGTTAACAGTTTTCTGTTACATTGAGAGGAGTGATCTACCTGCATTTCTCCAGACTAAAACCTCATCCACAAAGAGGGACTCTTAACAGTCACCTTTTATGGGAATTTTGTTAATCTGAATCTGAAATGTGGGCTATGTGTGTAGCTTTCTGCTAAACTTACTTATAAAAGGGCATAAAATTCCTGGAAAATTGGATGCAAATTCAAAAATTCATGTTATCTGCCATCCTGGCATTCTCATTGCAGAAGTGTATCTGCATTTCCTGAGCAAGCCAACACTGATCACATATGATTTGAGTTTCAGACTGTTAATGTTTGTTTGCCTGTTAGCTTGGACTCATAAAATTGATTTTAAATTGTTTTCTCAGTCTTCACAATTAATGATCATAAGAATAAAAAATGGTCAGGCAATTAAAATGAAAAAAAAAATCAATAAGGGAAATAAAAAATTAATTTTATGTATTGACAGTCTCAGCATAACTAGGAATATGTATAAATACCAGAATGGGAGAAATGCCACATACTAAAACACCAATGAAGTTTTCTGCCCTAAACTTTTTACGAGCCAGTCAGCTCCACACACAATGAGATGTGCTTGTAATGGCCTGAATTCCAAGGGCTTAGTGGTTCCTGCTGCCTGTCAAGGATGAGAGCTGTAAGTGGCCTTAAATTTAAATGTACTGATTTTTTTGGGGTTTTTTTTAAATTGTGTATGGGCATATGTGACCAGCACCCAGAAGGCCCAAACCATCTCTAAGATACTGCATGAAAGCATGAAAATGTTGCACTAGGCTTCTGTTCCAACTTTATGAAAGGCTTTGTTTAAGATGTAACATATCTGAAAGTCTCATGTATTGACAACTTTTAGTACAGTGGGACCTGTGAGGGCAGGAACCAGATAGATTTGTTTTGGCCTGCAGCTTCTGTTCTGCCCTCTTCAAATACAAGGAACAATCAGCCTAAAGGGAGTAGATGCTAAAGTTAAGGGATACTGTCAATAATTCAGAATGCTCAGAAATTAGCAGTAGATTGGTAAAGCAGAGTTAAATCTTAATCTTCAGTCAGTTACAAAGATGAGATGTGTGCCTGTGTTCAGTGTGTTGCAGTGATTAATCCCAAGGTGTCCTCCCTTCTCTCCATTCTCTCCTTTCAATTCCTCTGGGTTTTTTTCTTCTTCTTTCTTTACTAACAATTCCAAGAAAATAAAAATAACAAATCCTATATTTACAGTAACCAGAGTGACTTTGACTCAAATGCTTTCCTTCCTTTCTCTGCAGTCCCCAAGGTTTTCACTTGGGATCACTGTAAAGTCCCTGTGCTGCCTCAGCATAATCCATAATCCACCTGTCCTCTTCTGTGGGCTGTCTCACCTTATCTGTATTACCAGGGTTGGAAAAGGCCTTGGTGGTCTTTGAGCCCAATGAAGCTTAGCTGTGTTCCTTGTCAGATCCTCAGGAATAAGGAGGGAAACTATGCTTTACATTGTTTTGGTTTTTTCATTTTGTGTACCATGTAGGAACTCAAAAGTACTTTTTGCCATTTGCCTTATTTGTCAATAAATTGTAACATAAAAGGGAGAATTCATTTTTCATCAGAATACATCTTTCTAAAATTCAGTGCTGCTGGCAATTCAAGTATTATACTTCTAACTGCAGTCTAAACAGACAACATTTTTTTCCAGAGAGCTATGGAACAACTTCCTTTAGTAAACACTTTTTCTTTTATTTTAGTTTTTATTATACTGGGAAATGTTAAAAAATAATTCAGATGAACAAGAATTCTGAGTGTAAGGTCTCAAAAGAGTGGATTTGCAGGCAATGACTGTTACTAAAGTGTTATACTTCATTTACAGGAATTTGAATGGTTGCACTGTCCTGTTTTTCTTGTGTTCAAAACATCACCCACTAACACAGGGAAAATGATTAACTCTCCAGACAGCTTCTTATGGATGGACAAGCTGAAGAGTGGGAACTCGAAGGGCAACGTCTCTGAAAATTCTTCATCTCTTTCGTATTAAGAAAATGGAGGACAAAATGAAGTCCTGCAAAATGGACTCAAGAGCAGAAGGGATATCAGAGGATCCTGTGGGGACAGGCTTTGATGCCCTGCAGCTGAGGGAGCTGAGCTCACCCATTTCTGTCTTCCAGCTTGGTAACTCCCCATGCCAAAATGTAGGTAGGTTTCATTTTGTATCACTGGACTGTGAGTGGATACACTGCTGCTGAATTTATGGCCCTGGGTTGAGCTCCAGAGTTGTGACCAGCCAACAGTAATTTTCATCAAGGCATTTTAGTTCTAAAGATGGAACTTGCAGCCAAGAGCTAAAAGCCCCAGAGCCAATATAAAATACTGAGTACTACATAGACGTGGCCTGTGCCCTAAGGCACACATTGCAGGAAATCTGTGGGAGGAGTAGCCCTTAACTTTCATGTGAACTTCACTGTACCAAAACAATACTTACTGGAGAAGGGTTTCCATTTGGGCAATGGCTTTGTTGGGAGCAGAATACTTTCTGGGAAAATGTGATGCAAACACAATGGATAAATAAGTGTGTGGCTCCTTGAGCTCCTAAAATGAAGCTGGGGTTCCTCTCTTGCTGCTGTGCTGTGTTACATGACAATCATCTCAGTCATCCTGGCAGAGGCTGGATTAAACCCCTACAGCTTGGTATCCAAGCCAATCCAATAGCTTTGCTTTCATGTAATGCAGCCTTCAACTTTAATATTATACAAGAAGCAAAGCATACATTTATTGTGGTTGGTGGTTTATAATGCATTATGATTAATAAAGGCCCTAAATAGTCTTACAGAACTGGGAACAAAAATATTAATAGGTGTAGTATTGAAGTTTCAACTGCTCTTTACAGTTACTGAATTAGGAAGATAAAATAAAATTTTACTCTATTTTCACAAAGATAGAATTGGTACATCTGTTAGATAGAAGACTACATCCCTCCAAAATTATGGAAGATGAGCATTATGTGCCCAAGCAGAAACACTTTTACAAAAGTTAACAGTTGTTAATAGTTCTTTTTGTGTGCTCCCTACTACACAATCTCGTGATCACTGACAACAGAATTTTTTATTTGGCAATTGTTTCTCTTTCACCCACACAGTCACGCTTACCTTCAGGAAGACTACATTACTTTTTTTTCACTCAGCCCTTCTAGTTGGTGATTTGTTATTTTTGAATTTGGCCTACAGCTTCAGTGAGATTATTTTTCTTTTCTGGTTTGGTAGCTTCAATCACAAGAACAACTTAATGGACAACATCTCCAGGTGGTTCATGCATCTTTATGAAATGCTTCAATGTCTGTTTAATCAAACAGAAGTATTACTGGAATCTAGTTTTGATAGGAAGTTGTTTTAACCAGAACATATCAAGATTATCCTGTGCAGGGCATTTAAACTCAGAACAGTTAACCCAGGCACCTGCTTACATATGGCAGTTGGGCTCCTGCAACCTCTTTTGAACTCCTTTATTTAGGGAGAACAGAGCAGGAGTATTCCTCTTTCCTCATGAAGCTGTCTAGGGGCAAAGTTGCTTTCAGTAGTTCCACCTGTGTTCCTACACTCCATCAGTGTCCATGGGCACTTCTTTGCTGAAGACCATCACACAAAATACCCTGTTGTAAACTGGCTCTGTCAACTGATCCAGGTTTGAAACACACACAATACCTTTCCTCTTAACAGAAATCTTCTCCTAGGGAACTGCAGTAAGAATGTTCAGTTTTGTATTCAGATGGTCAAACCCTTGATAATCCTTCTCAGTGTATGTTGCATCCTACACAATTGATGTTCCCTTTCTCTCCAATTAGGTTACTTTTGTATAAAATGACACTGTAAGGCTGCTTATGGTAGTGAATCTGAATTATGTAAGCATAACTTGGGAACCTTTTCTCTCCTAAGCCTAGATTTCAGCAGGTCATTAAGAATTAAAGCAAAGAGTAACCTGTCCTTTTAATCTGTGTGCCCTTCTCATATATCTATTTCCCAAATTGTGAGAAATCCACATAGAAAATTTTCCAGTTACCTCTCCTTAAGGAGTTTGTTGGAGCATTCTTAGGGCTCTTTTTCCAAACTATGTTGTAACAGACCCCTGCTAGGCAAGGTAAGAGACTTGTCTCCTCTTTATGAGAAGCTGGTGGCAACTGTGGAGGAAATGGAAATAGCTTTGGCATTTATTGTTGGCCAAAACCAAACCAAAAGCAACCACTTCATGCCTGCAGAGTTTGCAGAGCCTGAGTATGGCTTAATTGCTCCATTGATAAGTGGAAATGATATGTTGTAACTTAACATATCCGTATGAGGCTATGCAAAGGAATAAATACTGGGACAGTGCCAGGGACACATATTGCAATGTGAGCCCTTGGTGGGCTCTCTAGTCAAGCTTAACCCAGCAGCTCCTGAATTAAATTGAGGCCATCAGGAAAGAAGTGTCCACCTCAGCTTTTAGTGACCAGCAACATTTTTGACACAAAGGTCAAAGATAGAAAAAAGTAAAAATGTCTCTTCTAGAATATTATGGTAGAAGTCAGTGCAAGATCTGGGTAAAATTTGTTTTTGAAAATCTCTTGTCAATTTTACCCACCCACGTTCCTGCCATAAAGGAGTGGCATGTGTGATAGGCTGTTTGTTTCTGACATCCCCAGTTCTGCTCTATCCTT